AGCCGTTCGACACATCGCTCGGCTTCGCCTCGCAGTTTGAAACACAAAAGACGGCGTTGCTCGGCTTCGGCGGCTGCGCCGCCTTGCCTCGCCCGTATACCGAAATCGCCGTCGATTCTAGAATGTGGACGAGCAATGTGGGAGACCAACATCGAAAACCGCATCGTTCTAACCCTCGACGTTTTTGAATTAACGCCAAATTATGGAAAAAGTGCCATCTGTATGCAATTAGGAGGGGGGGGGGGAAGGGGGTAGGTTAACGTAAAATCCTAATGTAGATGCTACCCGGTTTTTGTAGAATTGCTCGCGTAGAATCTTTGCCCAGTTGCGCCGCCTCGCTTCGCGCGTTTTTTTCGATTCACCGTCGATTCTAGAACGCGACCGATCAATATAGGAGACCGACGTAAAAAACCGCATCGTTCTATCTTTCGGCGATCCCGGCGAATAAACGCCAAAATATGAAATCTACCGATGAGGAGAGGGTGAGGAGGAGAGAGTGTCGGATGTGAAGTCGAGGAATACAAATACGGCCCCAGAATAAAAAACCGCATCGTTCTAACCCTCGACTCGAATGATGATCCCCTCCAAAATTAAACAAGATCCCGCTTAAATTTTAAAAGTGGCACGTGAACAAACACCTAAGGCAGGGCCCCCTTACGTTAGTTGTAAACAACGTGAAGTACACTAAGGAAGGAACGTAAAATAAAACACAAAAATTGTTTGTTTAATAATGATCGTTATTATTAAGATTTTGAAAACCTGGAAATTTAGTCGATGTACATTATTAATATAAGCAAAGCAAGCAAAGTCAAAAGATGTCGTACTCTCGCAAAAGTAACTGCCAATGGTAAAAAGAGTACGACGGAGAAAAACCTTGCAGTTCAAAAATTAGTTAACAAAATAATTTGTAAAATTATCAAGTTTAAGCAGTGGTTAACAAAGATAGTAAATGCGTATACATCAAGTTGGTTACACCAAACGTTAAAAACAAATTTTGCGAACAATGGGTCAGGTAAGCAGGTACGATCACCGACTAGAGTAATGATAATCGAATGCTTACTGTCACTTAGGCAACCAACCGTACACTATCTAAAATGGCAACTTTGAAGTGGAACATTTCCGGCGGAAATTCGTCACGCATTGTCGTCTTTACTTCGGCGTTTCTTCGTTACTGCCAACGCTACAGTATAGATACGTAGTTCAATCGCAATGTTGCGAAATTTACCCTTACTGGTGGGAGATTGCGCTTATGCCTTCCCAGTGGACCAGCTATTTTGATGGCAGTATCCAGTATTTACGTCCCACCAATGCCAATGTGAGTTGGCTCCCGCTACGAAGAGGGTTCTGGCACGGCATCCTTTACAATTAGTGTTACTAAGTGACTTCTTGGAGGCTGCATTCGTTAATCTGCCCTACAGCTTAGTAGTCCCATTGCTTCCAGGAAGGAACTGAGTGTCTTGAGCTTGAGGGTTTGTTTGGTTACTGTGAACAGCTGGACCGCCAGTACAGTACTGATGCACAGAGCCCCAACTATGGTAGACTGTCAGTTGTCTATAACTTGATCGGTGCCACCTTAGATTTTGCCGTTAATTTGGAGGTTTTTATTTGCCTATTTCCACACAATCTTTGGTTGGCATCATCTCGTTCTGGCTTTTTCTTGAACTGGAACTCGCCGAGGCGTGAAACACCACTCGTAATGTTGTGGTGGAGCTTTCTTCGCATGGTGGGGAATGTAGTATTTTGTAGGTGCCTCGACTCATCCATTTCGAGGCACCATACCTATGCCTCAGCTCTTCATACTCTCGCAGGAAAACCTGGATTCCGTCTGTAGAAGGCGAGCGGTTGATTATTATCCATACGTCATCGCTATACGGCGACAAAGGCTTTTTTACACTTTTTAGAGCTTTTCCAAAAAATTCTAAAGCATATAGAGTCCTTTAGGCTCACCTATAGGCCTGGAAAGGACCTACCGGCTCCGAAGAAACTCTGGGAAGCGGGGGAATGCTCGGGAAAATGTTCTAAACGATTTTCAGATGTCTTTGTAGTTCGACGCGTTAACTCATAGAGGTCGCCAGACAATTTGAATTATCGACACATTAAATTTAAAATGCCGTTTATGAAATAAATAATACGTACGTCCTCTGCATTACATTTACAGCGTTTATAATTAATAGTTTTATATTCCATTAGTGCTAAACCAATATCGTTAATTCCTATTCCAAATTCTTTGCACCCGATCAGAGCCGGTGTGGTACAATTTACCTACTGGTTATTCTATCGTTTTACATGCTTCATAAACTAGAACTCTACCATATATTGCCATTGTTAGTGTAATTATGGTAATTACTTGTTTTACTAGACGTTGTAAAATGCTATTTCCCCAGGTCAAGTATTCAGAATGGGGTATGTAGTGGTCGCCGTAGTCACAACTTAGAATCCATAATGGCGGCGTGTAATAAGAATTTGTGTTTTGTATCTTTCGTTTTGTGTGTGACTAAAATTTAAATGCGACTTCGTCCAACATAAAAATGTAAGTAAGCGATTT